TATGTTTCCATACGTTTTCGAAACAAAATATCAAATGTTTGGAGAATTTGCTGGAAACATTCGCTCGAGCTGAAATTTTACGTGTGATCAGGCATTGTCATAAACCTTTTGCCTGGAAAATTTAATGAGCTATTATTATGTACGTTTATGTGATACAACCGTTCGGATACTTATGACCGCTACTGTACATTAGGCGTGCATTTAGAGAGGGTGTGCATTTAGAGAGTGTGCATTTAGAGAGGGTTGACTGTAGTAATAGCAATTGTTTGTATCACCTAATATGATGTTCGGTCCCCGTAATTCAGGCGATTCAGGTAAATTCACCAAAAGCTAATCTGTATCTATCACATTCAAAATATCTGTACGGTTTTAAAAAGTAAAGAACATGTTGACTGTTAAACTTGTCAACTGTTGCGCAACGAATAGGGTTACTAATAAAAACATTAAGTATTTGACGTCACAGTTTGTCATGTAGTATACTATTGTCGTGCGCTCAATAAGAAGCATTTACGCTTACTTATAGTACCGCATGATAAACACTTGCTATTCTTTATTGAAATTAACATCAAATATGCCACAAATACATACAATTGTGAAAGGCGTTTTAAGTTCAACATGAAGCGTTGTAGAATTTACCTTTTAGACATATCTGAAATCAGCCAGTATATTTGACATTTAGAGGTCCAGACTGTCAAACAATAAACAATTGTACCGTATAGTAATAAATGCACACAGCAATCCGTAATAAGCGCTCGTTATCGTCATTATTAGATTCGACTATCTAACTTGGCATTTATCCTGCTTTTTTTTCTCTTCAAAGTGTTGTGCCACACTGCAAAACCATTGTTGTTAGGAGAAGCATACATCTCTCCCATAATGGCATCATACAATTCAGACTCACCATCTACTCTTATTCACATCATTATGTTATTTTTGCTATTTTTATGGTCTTCTCTAATTTCGCTTACTCGGCCCCAGTCCCATTCACCGACTCAATAACCCCCAACATTACCATCAACAACTAGACCCATTCTACTACACTTCCCGTAACTCCCATGTCAGATATATTATTTAAGGTACCTGTTATTTGGACTGTGAGCAAGATGCAGTTGATATCCGCAATTGACGGAAAAGCAGCTAAATCTCGCGCCTTGTTGCAGTAAAACCAGACGATAGAAAGATAGTTGTTGGTTTCTTAATACTTTTACCGCAGGATTTCAGAATTATTGCTATAGACGCGCACTTTTTATTTGGTGACCATACGCCTGTTTCTGATGCAAAAGTGCATGCTGACTTTATAGATGTATTCGAAGAGATAAGAGGTAGACTCGTAAATAAAATTCAAAAATAGGGAGGCGTTTATTTTATATTTATTCACTGTCTTTAACTTCTTAGTATGTATCTGTAAAATACCATAGAGTGTGCAAATGATTGCCTGACGAATCACATTATCGAAAGACCCTTGCATATTTTAAGCTGTACGGGAAGAAAAAAGCATCATACCGCATAGTTCTAATGAGATTGATGAGATTTAATGATCTTTCTGAAACAAATAGGCGGAGTATAATACTCCGATTGAATTAAGAAACAAAATTGTAGTTTGCGCTTAAATAATAATGTGACAGGTATCCAACGAGCTTAACAAAGTGCAAGATAAGGCGCAAGACGTGGGCAAACCTAGTTTGAAGTATGGCGAGAAATAATGTAACTCCTGGTAGAAAGAGTTTTTTTAGATGAAACACAAGAAAAATATGTTTTATCTTTTCGATAAACCTGTTGACATTTTTACAAAGCAAATGCTTATTAATTCTACGTTGAAAATACACGTACAATCTAGCCAAGTGGGTGCCACGTTTTCCGACTTCATAAAAAAAGGCTGTCCGAGTCTTACTATATCTGGCAGATCAACGAGACACAGCAAGTATACAAGTAATTATGCAATGAAAAGTAATTCGGAGTATGAATTGTTATTATTATCGCATCGTAGTTTCAGTCATCCGATATGACTAGATCAAACTCAGCCGTAAACTCTAGATTATTAGTCGTGCGTATATAGTAGCACATTAAATCCATCTGATGGAATAATAGGAAACGACGCCTAAAATATTTATTTCTCATGTGCAGAAATGTATAGCAAACAATAATAATAAAATTCCGAATTATGGTTTAAGTCCAAAATAAGATAATAAAAATAAAACAAGTAACAGCAGGGAAAATGTTATAAATACAGCTAGGTAACCAGTGGGTAAAGTTGAGTATTTGAACCTGCGCAGAAAATTATGGTAAATTGGTGAGAGTAAATGAAGAACTATATATATTACGTCATACGGTTAAATTCATGCAGAAACTATAATGTTAGAAATGTGCTTTTATGCTAAAAGCAGCGACAAGCGAGCAGAGCTAGTTATATTAAATGTAATACCGTTAAAACTATATTATATTATTATACTAAGTTATCTAAAAGCATTATATTAAAGATGTGAGACGTAAATGGTTTATAATTATCCTGTAAGATTTATTATTTAATACTCACAACGAATATTGCTTTTTATAATTTAATAAGCGTATGTGCTTTGTTTTGATACAATAATTTCAATTACTAACATATTAGATAACCGGTGTTATCACTCAGAAGACGGCTTGCGGAAAAGTAGATTTAAAAAAAAGGCACCCCATAGCCGCTATTAGCGTCTTTAATGACGTGTATTTTTCTTTACGTTCAAAATATTTGAAAACGTAAACATTTTCTAGCTTATGTACGTTCAACAACAATCCTTATCTGCGCATTTGCTGAGGTAAGTCCGCGTTCGAATAAGTTTAGGAAAATTGGCTTAGTTATACAGCTGATATTGTCTAATGACAACAAAAAATCTATATAGACGTGAGCTTAGGTTATGTCTGGCATGTGCATATTAATTAGAGCCCAAGATAAATGCATTCTGTTATTACTGCAAAGCATTGTATAATTCTGGTAACGTTTCCAGTCATTACATTAAAAGATCGTGGCGGCAAGTCATCACAACGGCGACAATTAAAGAAATTGTCTGATTAATGTAAATTAATGTTTACGGACAGATCTAGTATGTATCATTCGAACCATTTGCTGTTTCGAGAATAAGAAAGTTTCTCAATAATATTATTTAGTGACATGCACATAAGCAATAAATATTAAGTTAAAACTTTATCTCCCTGATTTAAATATACGACTCTAGCTAAAGCTAGTATTGGTAAAATGTAATATGTTTGTTGACCGCCGGGTACTAGTCTTTGATACCCAATTAATAAGATTGCTTAAACTCTCTATACACCAATCCATGCATGCACTTGGGAGGTGTACTAATTTAACTTACGTAAACAATATGTTACACCCCTGAGTGCACGCAAATAATAGTACAGTTTTCCGGGGCGTATCTGTATTGTACAATCCTCGGGTGTACGTTAAGGAGACCTAATTTTAACTAATCTGTCACATTGTGAAAGGTAACAGCAACAATTTTTTAATTTTGTTATTTTGTTCACTATTTTACGGACGTTCTCTTTTTTGAATTCCAATTATCTAGAAAAAACGTCTATTTACTTGTAATTAAGATAAGGTTTTATCATCTTGCGGCTTTGTATATTAAGTTTGGAGTTTTACGATGAGCATTGTGATCAAAGCTTTTTTCCCCCACATATTTATGCTTTAGTTCTAGTGTGTATACTGTATACTTTTTGTAGAATACTTAACACGCAATAAGTGCGTTACATTATGTATTCAAGCGTTTTGTAACTTTAGACAATGCTGTGCCTCAATTGCGACTTGTATCAGCCCTGGAGCGAGTCGTTTCATGTATACTAATAATTTACCAAATACTAAATGTTAAGCAAGCAATTTAAATTATTTATAATTAAATTATTTATTAAATAATTGCAATTAGCAATAGCTATTGTTAACAGAAGAGATCAATGGTTGTAACTTAATTTGGCTTCTCCTGACATTTACTCGTACAAATTATTTCTATTCTCGCTTTACATTCTGTCAAATAGTCATTATATTAAAAATATAAATATGAACTGACTACGAGTGTGAAAGACATGTTTACATTATATATGACTAAACACATAAATTGACACGACAATAATTATTATCAAAAACATGTTGGATAATTGCATCGCTGCTTTAGGAGCCACATTTTTGGAGGGCCTACCTCCGCCATCTCCGCCACTGCTACCAGAACTACTTCCACCACTGCCACTAGAACCACTTCCGCCGCTGCTACTAGAATTATTTCCGCTGCCACTTCCACTGCTATTTCCACTGTTAGTAACGCATGAGCCATCAGGTTTGCAAGTTTGGTCAGTGTAGCAACAACCAGCACCGCAAGGTGTATCATCAACAGTGCAGAGCATGTTGCAGTAAGTGTCATCTAAGCAGTCCGTACCCGTAGGGCAACAACCATTACCAGAGGGACACTGATAATAATCTGGATAGTCAGGACCACAGCTGTTATTGACAGCGGATTCTGTCAAAGAAAGCAATTTGACATTGCCAAGAGAATTTCTTGTTTCAAGATACGTGGCGGAAGTAAGGGTAATTGCAGTAAGAGCGAGAAAGAATGCGAAAATTTTCATGATTAAACTTTGAGTGGAAAATTGAATGCAATTTTTTTGATGTAATTATCGTAGGCAATTATCCTGGCGTAGAATGGTTATGGATATCTCTATTTTAAATAAAATTTACAGTTTTTGCTTTTAATGTTGCACCACATTGTGAGCGGGGAGCAAATTTGCCAAAATTGTACTAATAAAAGTATAGATTACCAACCGTCTATCATTAAATTGTAGTCTTACTTTAAACTTAAGTTATATTCACAATTGCAAGTTTTTTAATTAATGTCACGGATGATGCTGAAATCGGATGATGCTGAAACTCACGTGATGCATACTTATGTTATGTAATAAATAATAAC